CCCGGCGCCCCGCCGCGGCCGCGCGCCGCCGCGCGCGCCCGCGCGCGGCCCCCGCCCCCGCGCGCGCGCTCGCCGAACGCGCCTCGACGCCGCGGCCCCGCTTCAGGCCGCGCGACTACTGGGACTACGAGGCGCTCACGGTGAACTGGGGCGAGCAGGAGGACTACGAGGTCATCCGGAAGATCGGGCGGGGCAAGTACAGCGAGGTCTTCGAGGGCATCAACGTCGCGAACAACTGCAAGTGCGTCGTCAAGATCCTCAAGCCCGTGAAGAAGAAGAAGATCAAGCGCGAGATCAAGATCCTCCAGAATTTGTGCGGGGGCGAGAACATCATCCAGCTCCTCGACGTCGTCCGCGACCCCCAGAGTAAGACGCCGAGCCTCATCTTCGAGCACGTGAACAACACGGACTTCAAGGTCCTGTACCCCACGCTCGGCGACGGCGACATCCGCTACTACGTGGACCAGCTGCTGATTGCCCTGGACACGTGCCACAGCAACGGCATCATGCACCGCGACGTCAAGCCGCACAACGTCATGATCGACCACGAGAACCGCGCGCTCCGGCTCATCGACTGGGGTTTGGCCGAGTTCTACCACGCGGGCCGCGAGTACAACGTCCGCGTCGCGTCGCGCTACTTCAAGGGGCCGGAGCTCCTCGTGGACCTCCAGGAGTACGACTACTCGCTGGACATGTGGTCCCTGGGCTGCATGGTCGCGGGCATGATCTTCCGCAAGGAGCCGTTCTTCCACGGCCACGACAACTACGACCAGCTCGTGAAGATCGCCAAGGTGTTGGGCACGGAGGATTTGTTCCACTACCTCGACACCTACGACCTCGAGCTCGACCCCCACTTCGACGGCCTCATCGGCCGCCAGGCGAAGAAGCCCTGGAACAAGTTCGTCACGCCGGAGAACTCGCACTTGGTGTCCGCGGAGGCCATCGACTTCGTCTCCAAGCTGCTGCGCTACGACCACCAGGAGCGCCTCACGGCCCGCGAGGCCATGTGCCACGACTACTTCGCGCCCCTCGCGGAGCGGAGTCTCGCGGACCGCGGCGTCGACCCGGCGGACCCCAACGCGGTCCCCGCGGCGCCCTAGCGGCGGCGGGGGGGTTCGGCGCGGCCGCGCGGCGCCCGCCGCGCGCGACCAGCGAACCCGGCGCGCGCCGGCGGGCCCCGCGCCACGGTCCGTGTGTAGAGTACTCGTGGGATCCACCGGGGGGCGCCTAGAGCAGGAAGGCCACGGGCGCGTCCGCGGGCAGGAGCGCCTTCGCCGCGTCGAGGCACGCGCGGACGTCGTCGCCCGCGTCGAGGCGCGTCGCCCGCTTGTCGAGCGTCACGGCGCGGACGAGGCCCTCGGGCGAGCGGCCGCGGCGCCGCTTCGCGCGGCGCTGCTTCGGGGGCGTCGCGAGCCAGGCGGACATGGCGCCGCGGAGCTTGGCGTCGTCGCGCTTCGTCGCGCCGCGGCGGAGCTCCTCGAGGGCCCCGACGG